TCTCTCTCTCTCTCTCTCTCTCTCTCTCTCTCTCTCTCTCTCTCTCTCTCTCTCTCTCTCTCTCTCTGCCTCTCTCGGACTCTCTCCCCCCACTTGCCCCCCTGGGCGTGCCATTGGAGATGTGCAAAACGAGAATGAATCTTCCACGTCTCTCTCTCTCTCTCTCTCTCTCTCTCTCTCTCTCTCTCTCTCTCTCTCTCTCTCTGAATCTTCCCGCGTTGACAAACAGAACTGATGTTTTTTTTTTTTTTCCTTTCTCTTTCTCACCGCAATTTTGTGCACGACAGGGCCGTCCACTCCCCACCCCCGTTAGGTGCGACGTGCTACGGGCCATGTTGGGATTTTTTGACTGGGCGAGGTACTGAAGGTTTAACTCAATAGACTTATGGGGGATCGGGGAGATCAGCGAGGGGAAGAGGCAAGAGGATGAGCAACAGTAGGGAAGGAGTGAGATGCAGAGTGAGAAAGATGAAGAAGGGAGAAGGAGACAACACAACTACCAAAGGGGGCGCAATAAAACTCTCGCCTTCGATATCAAAAACTGAAAAAAGCATGGAGCGAGCTCAGCGAGGTAGGCAAATTTCCCAACATGTTCGGCCACCTGGCCCAAGCGGCCATCATCAGGGGATAAGCGCCTATGAGATGAGTCCTACAAACTTATTAAATACTGTAATACTCGCCATAAGATGGGGATCATTCCTTTGCGAAGCACCTTATGTGCCTTTGAAGACGCCGTGTTAGTATGATGTTACCTGCCTTTGAAATTATGATCTTGCACCTCACTGAACGAAACAAAAAAATATATGCTTCCCAATAGTATGTGAAAGAGCAAACGTGAGATAGCTCAGATAGGTAGCACAGAGTGAAGGTCAGATAGAGGAGGGTTGGATGCTCTGATTTTTTCCGATCATATTGGAAGGAGGCAGAAAGATTTCAGGATGGGATGCATTGGGAGTTGGAGGGGGTGAGTCACTGCCCTATGGAGGCACACGTTTACCTGAGAGCGGAGGAAGAAGCCGGAGTAAAGTGCATCAGTAGAGGAATGAAAACATGCCGGGTGTGTAGACAAGGAACCAGACTACGGCTTCTTACTTAAACGGACATATTTTATTTTTTGAACGAAATTGAAACCTCACAAATTAGCCCAATTTAGGTGAAAATTTCAAGCTCTTGAGGGTCCGGCGTCCTTAAAATGCAGGACCCCTTGGATGTATCTGGACTTAGCTGGAGTCTACGGGGTACAACGTTGTGAAAACACCGTACCCCCCTGGATGTATCTGGACTTCGCTTGCATCCAGGGGGTAGGGTGTTTTCAGAACGCCGTACCGTCAGTATCTGGACTTCACTTGCATCCAGGGGGTAGGGTGTTTTCAGAACGCCGTACCGTCAGTATCTGGACTTCACTTGCATCCAGGGGGTAGGGCGTTTTCAGAACGCCATACCCTCAGGAGCTGAAAATATAGACCTAAATTGGGCCGATTTTTCAGTTTTCAATTAAATTCGTTCAAAAAAACAAAAATGTCAATTTTGACGAAATTGCTGTTCAGCTAGGACAGCTGCAGCAACAAGAGGAGAGGCTTAACGATCTGATCAAAGCAATCCCGTCAGAATGGAAAGTCATCCTCAGTCCAGAGGCTGTGAACCCAATAACCACCTGGTATTGTGAAGAGGAGCAGAGGTTACCCGGGGAGAGAGGGCCTCAGGAAGTGTTCCTCAGGCTACAGGAATGGATACGCGAAGGTGGGGGCACTGGGGGGAAATGCTGGATGGAGAAGTATGAAAGAGAACTACCTGGTTTGCCGGAGATCAAAATAACAGGCGTAGTTCTCCGGTATGGCCTTACGGGCTTCACGGAGCTCCGAGTTCGCAGAAGCCCCCCAAGAGAGGAAGGGCAGCCAGATGTGCTTACTGTAGTAGCGGACGGTACCTCTATTAGCAGACTGAGGATTGATCCAGTGGCCTGGGAGTGGACTTTAGAAGAGAATCAAGTGATCAAGGATCTGAAGAATCTTACTCCATCTCTGTCACTTAGGATCATTTCCAAGAAATCGTCTAC